ACAGCTTGTTGAGCATCCTCTGTTCTGGTGACAAGGCAGGTTTGGAATTCCTAAAGTCCAGCACCGTCTCCTTAGTCTTACTGATGTTTAGCTGCAGCTGGTTCAGCTTACACCAGTCAACAAAGTCTTTCACCAGCTTCCTGTATTCCTCTTCCTGTCCATTCCTCATGCACCCCACAATGGCCGTGTCATCAGAGAATTTTTGCAGATGACACGACTCTGTGTTGTACCTGAAGTCAGAGGTGTACAGATTGAACAGGAGTGGAGCTAACACAGTCCACTGGGGTCCCCAACACTGCACACAGCCTTGTCTGAGACACAGCCCTGCAGTCGCACATACTGGGGTCGTCCAGTCAGATAGTCCATTATCCATGAGATGACAGATTCATCCACTTGCATCAGCCGTAGCTTCTCCCCTAAAAGCACAGGCTGTATGGTGTTGAATGCACTGGAGAAATCGAAGAACATGATCCTCACAGTGCTGCCTGATGTGTCCAGGTGAGAGTATGTTCTGTCCAGCAGGTAGAAAACTGCATCATCCACTCCAATGCCATCCTGATTTGCAAACTGTAGAGGGTCAAGAGCTGTTTTGAGGTCTCAGATGAGCATCAGCCTTTCAAGTGTCTTTATTAAGTGGGATGTCAGTGCAACCAGTCGGTAATCATTCAGTGCTGTCGGTTGTCTTTTCTTGGGGGCAGAAACCACACAAGATGATTTCCACATAACTGGGACTCTCTTCAGGCTGCAGCTCAGACTGAAGATGTGCTGAAGAATTCCACACAGCTGCTCCGCGCACAGTTTCAGCACCCTGGGTTCAATGACATCAGGTCCCGCTGCTTCGCTCTGCTTGAGTTTGTTCAGTTCAATCTTCACCTGATTAGCAATGAATGTATAATCACTGGACATTCCAGTTCTGGGGGGAGGGTGAGATGTGTCCATTGCAGACAGTGGTTGCTGATGGTCACAGTAGATCAGGAGAGGAGCCATCGTCAAACCGCACAAAGAACTGGTTTAACTCATTCGCCCATTCACGCTTTCCCTCTGCTGGAATAGGGCTGCCTTGGTTGGAGCCAGTGATGTCTTTTAGGCCTCTCCACACATCACGTGTTATTCAGCTCTAGTTTGTTTTTCAGCTTGGAGCTGTACTCCTTTTTTGGCCATTTTTATTTGAGGTTTTGAGCTCTTTTTGTACCTCTTCAGTTCCTCCCTGTTTCCTGCCATAAATGCTCTTTTCTTCTGGTTCAGCAGAGACTTTGTCACACCTTGCAGTCCACAAACTGGTTGAAAGTGGGCAGACATGATGAGAGGGTAACATGATTGAAGTCCCCAGACACTGCGATGAATGCACTAGAGCTCTGGTTTTGCACCTTCGCGATGGTCAAGTGGATGACGTCACATGCAGCGTCCGCAATAGCAGAAGGTGGAATGAAGCAGAGTCTTGTTATAAAACTGATAATAGGACATCAGTCATAATTAATCTTTTAGTACTTTTACTTTTGATACTTAAGTACATTTGAAGGCAAATACTTTTGTACTTTTACTCAAGTGGAGGTCTAAAGGGAGGAACTTTTACTGGAGTAATATTTTACCTTGGGTATCTCTACTTTAACGCAAGTACATGACTTGTGTACTTCGTCCACCACTGACTTTAGGTATAACAATTTTAATATATTGAATGGATTTATCATGTTTGGTATCAGCTAATTCACTCTTTATGAAGATATGATGTGGAAATGTGAATGAGGTTAGAAGATAATGTTTAAATTGACTATCCTGTTTGTGTAAATTTCAAACCTTGACCGTCTATGGCTTTTAGTGGTCTGGATCTGGGTTTAGGTTAATGTATAAATGGAGAGATCAAGGCGTGAAATACAGGGGGTCTGGGATCTCCAATTAATCTATTGGGCCCCCTGAATGTCTGTGAAGCCATTGTTTATCTGCTTCCCCCACAATCAGCTTCTGTCTTTGGTGTTTTTAACTAACTAGAGCTGCAGCACTGCTCTGCCTCAGGGTGGCGCTGTAGCAGACTGGTTCACCCAGTTGGTCCTTCATGGTCTAGAAACTGTAACTCTGCCCGGATTCCTCTGAAAAACTTTACAATGAGCTGCAGCAGATCTGTAAATCTGAAAACTCGCCCAGTTTCCCCAGAGTTTGGAGTGAAGAGTGACTGTTCCTCATTTCTCACACTGAAGACAGAAGAGGAGACGAGGAAGATCTCAGTTACTGTGAGGAAGAGCGCAGAACCGCACTAGAACAGAGACTCTACAGAAGAGGAGACGAGGAAGATCTCAGTTACTGTAAGGAAGAGCGCAGAACTGCACTAGAACAGAGACTCTACAGAAGAGGAGACGAGGAAGATCTCAGTTACTGTGAGGAAGAGCGCAGAACCGCACTAGAACAGAGACTCTACAGAAGAGGAGACGAGGAAGATCTCAGTTAATGTGAGGAAGAGCGCAGAACCGCACTAGAACAGAGACTCTACAGAAGAGGAGACGAGGAAGATCTCAGTTACTGTGAGGAAGAGCGCAGAACCGCACTAGAACAGAGACTTTACTGAAGAACAGCTCTGCCTTCTACGTTGTAGACTGTGGTTCAGTCCCTGCCTGGGTAAACCAATATACCAATATGAGTCCTTGGGCAAGACTCCTAACACTACTTTCACCTCCCTGTGTAAAATGATCACATTGTAAGTCACTCTGAGTACGAGTGTCTGTCAAATGCTGTAAATGCAAAATGTATATCATGTAAGTATGTGTACAGGTGATTGTTAGCGATGCAACTTCCTCTTTCCACACTTACTAGATCTGGTGTAATTTATCTATTTCAGTTGTGAGGAAGCTCCGTTGTGTTGAGTTATACCTGAGCACAACTTCTCCAGGACTCACTCTGGGAACCAGGGGATCAGCTCAAACCATCAGCAGAGGTGTGAACTTTCAGGTTTAAGGAAGCTGTTGGAACATAATCCGGCAGAGGATCTTACCTATCTGAGCATGAATGATCGACCTCTGGCTTCTCTGGTTACAGAGGGATAAATAAGCACTGGGACAAGAATTTTCATCTCAGTCCAGTTTTTATTGTCATGCAGGTTCAGCTACAGGATTCAATACAACTGTAATGTTCAGACTCTGAGCTCTCAGTGTACCCCATCAGATATTAAACACACACAGGGAACATTCAGCTAACGCTGCACTTCACTAGCACATCACTCAGAATATAAGATACATAGTCCAACAGTCTGAGAGCGCAGGTGAAAATGCTGCTATTTTATATTACTTTAATACATTTTTACTTCAAATTATATTACCAGCATGACAATCTGAGCGAAAAGTAGAATCTTACCAAATTTTAACACGAATTTCAGAACTTCTTAGTATTCTTAGTTTGTCCCTCTTTTACTTTAAAGATGCTTGAGCTCCACAAGTTTGCGCAAAAGCCTCTAATGAGCAGATCAAATCCACATGAAAGTCATTGGAACACAAGCTTCACTGGAAGATATCAGACTAAAAAATTCCGACCTTTTTGTTCAAAGGCCTTAAATACGGTCAATATCACAAAGTTAAAATAATGATTAAGAAATAGTGCAGAATCTTCAGGATTCCTTCGTTTTTCCATGTAATGACTTTTAATTTTCACAATTGTAAAACTGTGTTTTTTATTCATGCAAGTGGACGCGTAACCATTTCCAATTCACTGTAGAGCTGTAACTTAGCTCGTTTGAAAGTGTCTCATGTTTTCTGAAGTGGGGCCGAAGGTACCCCATCACCAATCAACTTATCTCAACTTCTTCATAATGCTAACATTTCCAGAGTGCAGTTTGAGCCTAGCATGTTTTTAGCATGTGGCATTATTAGCATGGTATGTTACAGCCTGTGTAAACAGTAAGTGGTGCAAACCTTCACCCACAGCCCAAAGCCTACAACTACCTACATCTACACACACTATCCACTAGAGGGCAGTATTTTTCAGTAGTATCAATGAATCTAAAACAACCTACAATATCTATAACAATAACGTGACTTGCATGCTAGCAGAACTAATTAGCATGATCTCTCTGCAGCTCCATGCAATGCTTACAGACCTCCTAGCATTTAGCCACTGCTGGCCATATTAGCGTATTTTAGTCAGGCTGCTTACATAGAGATTCTACACATTTACAGGTTTTACACATGTATAGTATCCATTCATTCAGATATTTGTTTTTTGTTTCTTTGTTTTATTCATCTTTTTGCATAGAAATGTCAACATGGCTAACAGTTCTTGTATCAGCAAATGGCCCTCAGCCACTGTTAGCCACATTAACATGTTTTATTCAGACTGCACCCTATAGGTTCCTCTGAGGTTTGGTACACTTACAGTGTAGTCTCATGCACACACATTATCCACTAGGGGGCAGGGTTGCTTTGCTTAAAAGAGCCAGTATCATGACTAAGAGTGACTGCATGCTAGCAGGGCTAGTTAGAATGAACTTACACACACAGTGCTAAAGGGCCTCCTAGCATTCAGCCACTGTTAGCTGCATTAGCATATTTGGTCAAAGCATTCCTTTGAAGGTTCCTCTGAGGTTTAATACATTTCTACAGTTGAATGCATATCTGCTCGACTGTTAAAGGGTTAGTGTTTGTGGATCTATTCTGATCTAGAATACAGCAGCACGGTTCAGTCACGTCACTCCACTCCACAGATTTAAAACCCTGATGCCTACAAAGCTGAATACGGTCCAGCCCCTCCCTACTTGATGGGAATGGTCAAAACTCGAACTGTACCTCGAACCCTTCGAGCTTCAAGTACAGCTCAGCTCGACTCGCCATCCTTCAAGACGTGTGGAAGAGGAGCATCTGGACTCTCCTCTGTCCTGGAGTCCAGGTGGTGGAACCAATTCCACTGGCTGTCCGAACAGCAGAGTCTCTCGTGGTCTTCAAACACAGACTGAAGACCGTCTCTTTGTGGAGCACTTAAGTGAGCACTGAGTTTAGTACCTATTGAAATGTATGTGTTGCTCGTGTGTTGTGTTTAACTCTGTATCTTTTTGTGTTTCGGCTCTGGCTTTTGTTTTCGGGCAGTGTTTGAGCTGAAGGGTACATTCTCAGAGTGGACAACAAAGCCCTTCCGTAAGTCGCCCTGGATAAGAGTGTCTACTGAATGCCGTAAACATAAATAATTTGCATAAATGTGATGATGTCTGGATGATCATAATAAACAGATACACATATATTACTGTAAGCTCTTATATTATCACAGTGAAGTTAGTTTAAAGGAGAAGACTGAGTCTCTCTCCTCCCTGATGAAATTTCTCTCTCTATTCCTCTCTCTCTCCCTCTCCCTCTCCCTCTCTCTCTTTCTCTCTCTCTCTCTCTCTCTCTCTCTCTCTCTCTCTCTCTCTCTTTTAGCGGCGTGTTTCTTTCTTGGACTGTGGCGTGTTTCCCAGAACAGAGTCCATCTGCGCAACGAGGTCAGGAGTTAAAAGAGACAGAACCTGACAGAGAGAGAGAGAGAGAGAGAGAGAGAAGCGTTAACACCTGTATGAACACATGTGGATATGTTTTAAGTATATGTGTGTTACCTTGATGGCTCCGAGGTTCTCGAGTAACTGTTCTGTGCTTGAAACGCCGAGCAGAACACAGCTCACTCCCTCACTCCTCATGCACCATGCTGAAGGCGGGAGGGGGAAATCAGAGCTTCAGAAAGTTTCTAATGACTGAAATCCTGATAGAATACATTGAATTAAGAGTGGAGAAATGATGGAGGTAAATAAAGAACTAAGAAAGAGAGAAAGATGAGGAAAGAATGCCTGCATGAAAGGTGAGGATTAGTTCCTGTTCCTGTCCGGACAGTGAATTTAATATGGCTGTAATCTGGGCCACATCCAGCTTTTTCCTGTAGCCCATATATTGCATAGCATGATGGAGCACAGTCGAAACAGATGTGGTAGCTGGAACCCGTATATTGTTTGTCACTGGCGTACTCTTACTGAATAACCAATACAACTCCAGCAGGCTACGCTGATGACATCACCATGACTCATAAATGGCAGTCCGCACTGATGACATCATGGTAGTCTATAAGATACAGGCGGCACTGATGACATCAAAGTAGCCCATAAGTGGTGTAGGTACACTGACGACATCACAACAGTCCAATATGCTAATACACAATGTTCCACCGTGTAAGTTAAAGGGGAAGTTATAAACTTTAAACTTTGATATTACATAATTGATTGGTCTGATCAATAAGAAGCCCAATCAGCCGCCTCCTCTGTGGTACGAAGAACAGAACCAGGTTTGTTTGCAGTTTGATAAACTGTCCCTCAGTCATCACTGTGAGCTCAGAGGAAATCATCGCTGTGTAAAACCCTTAATATCCACTTTGAGCTCAGCAGCTGTCATTCATCCATTTTAGAACAGAAAGGCTCTAAAATGACTGGAATAAAAGCTCTTTACATCAACTTACATTCAGTTTGAAGAAGACTGTTGCCTCGTGCTGTAAAGCTTGAGGCAACAGTAAATAAATAAAAATGACATCTGTCTCGCATTTTCGATTTATTGATGTATTTTGACCCTGACGACGTTCAGAAGGTGGTTATGTATGAGGTGTGTTTATGTACCTATAGCGAGCTGAGCGGCGGTGCAGCCCAGTCGCTCTGCCACAGTGTTTATCTCCTTAATCTTCATCATCTGCCTCCGACCTTCATCACTCTGAACCTTCTCCTTCAGCCACTCGTACCCCTGCAGACACACACACACACACACACACACACACCACTGTCAGAGCCTGATTACATCTTGCATTTCGCGTCCGGATCATATCTGGATAAACTTTAGACAGACTCTGTTTTCACTTTCACCTGCCAGCATCTCCTTCACGTCATGGTATACAGATATTAAAATCACGTTCTGTTTATGTTTGTGTTAAATGCGGTCAGATCCGTCTCTGGTCCTCCGAATGTGGTTTGAGTGATCTGATCATTATGCGCTCACAGGGCGTCCTGGGGTTTGTTCACATCTGGCTTTTCATGCAGTGAAATCCAAATGTGATCTGATCACCAAAAACACGTTACTGCAGGGTATAAACAGGCCGACGCAGTGGGGTCCAGAAGTCTCATAGAACTTTAAAAATCTGGGAATGTTTTAAATGAATCCTGAAAATAAACAACAGAAAGACCTCTCTCTCTATTTAAACTGAAGCAGGTGTGTGGAGTTCATGATGTTGAGGTGTTCGTACTAAAAGGTCAGTGTTTTTAGTCTGATCTCTTCCAGTGAAGCTCTATGAACATTTATGTAGAGTTATGTCAGTAGTTACGATAAGCTAAGATAATGCACACATTTCCTCTGTGAAAAGATTATTTAAGGTGGACAGCTGGAACCACTGTTGAACCTCTGAGGCTACATTTACACTGTTTGTACCTTGAAGAACAAAAATGTACCTCTACAGAACTCTTATTCCTGACAGTGCAGTCTATACAGTTCTGTATTTCACACCGACCTTCAGAGCGGCGCGGGACGTGTCCGGCACTCCGTCGCAGTATTTTCCTGTGATCAGGCCGCAGGCTAAAGGAGACCAGGTCATCACTCCTACACCTGCACACAGACACTCAGTCACACCTGAGACTGGAGACTCTACAGGGTCACTGCACCGAGAGCTCCACTGCAGCTCCAGACGCATTCTGACCACATGATCTCACAGTTATGGGCCGTGTGTGTAATGAATACACTTCTTGTTCTCATGCATATCATCACTGACCAAAAACAACAAGCATTTCCAGTTTTTGCCATTTTTATTTTTTGACATTGAGCTCAGCAGCTGGTCTTTACGTTGTGAGAAAACTTCATGATGCATAAAACAGCAGAAAGGCTCCAAAACTGCTTGTAACAGAATCTCCTTACATTAACTTACGTTGAAGTTAAGATCGTTTTCTCCCTCTCCTGTAAAGTTACCATTCATTAGAGATGCTTGTTTTTCTTTGCACAGCGTTGATGTGGATTTGAGGGAAGATCTTAGAGAAAGTGGGTGGAGCTATTACACATCTGGCTGCCTACATGTTCAGCACGATTTATGACAGTTTGAGCCGCGGCTGCCAGTCTGGCACCTATTTTGTTCCCCTTTTAAAAGCAGATGCACAGTGGTGTCAGACTTGCTGTTGGGAGACTTTAACAGCAGCTTTTGTAGCCAAACAGAGACCGAAGCCTCAAACATGAGCTGAAAGCACATTTAGCACAAGAAGAACACGGTTTAAACTCTCCGGATCAGATGTACGAGAGAGAAGACGCAGCGCAGAACAAGCAATATTTCACCCCAATTCAATGTTTTGGTTTCTTCTTTTAAACTATATATCAGTGTGTGAGCTCTCAGCTTTTTATCTACTTATCAAATATATTATTATACAAAATTATATGTAAGTATTCTTGGCTTATACTGACGAGCATGCAGAAAGAGATTTGGCCTGTACTTATACTTGTACACACACATACTTGTACATATTTATATACTATATACTATATATACGTAAATGTAAACTAGTTGTGTTGACAAAGTTTACTCTTCTTACAGCTAAAGAGTACTGAAAAGTACACATTTGTACACTAAAGTGGGCCAATTTAATCCCAAGAAGTACTGAAATAGTACACTTACAAGTAAACTGCTAGTACACAGATATTAGTATACTTACTACGTAAAGTATCCTTAGGAAATATACTTGAACTTTACTATTTATTTTTTGTATGGGAAGCCTGTCATTAACACATGGGTGTAGCGTTAGTTTGGATGGCAGATAAAAAGCAACATTTCTTTAGCTCGCTTGTTCTGCCTGTGTTCCTGATTGTACTCTGGATGCTAAAGAGCCGGACCAGAGGAATTCTGGGTTGGGGTTTGGAGGGCCCCTGTTAGCGGGAGAACAGTTTGTCCCCAGATATGCGTTCCCGTTATGAGTTCTGACCCACGAACCTAGCCTTGAGTTTCTTTGCAGCTTCATTATTTCACTGCACCTTTAAATCCTGTGCCTCAGTGAGCAGTCAGTGGGTGGAGCCCCGCACAGTCTCAAACGTTAAATTCAGGTGCGGTTTGAGCGACAGGTTCATGAAGGTGCGTTTTGAGCCGCAGGTTCATGAAGGTACGGTTTGAGCTGCAGGTTCATGAAGGTGCGCTGTGAGCCGCAGGTTCACGAAGGTGCGGTCTGAGCCGCAGGTTCATGAAGGTGCATTTTGAGCCGCAGGTTCATGAAGGTGCATTTTGAGTTGCAGGTTCATGAAGGTGCGTTTTGAGCTGCAGGTTCATGAAGGTGCGCTGTGAGCCGCAGGTTCATGAAGGTGCGCTGTGAGCCGCAGGTTCATGAAGGTGCGCTGTGAGCCGCAGGTTCATGAAGGTGCGGTTTGAGCCGCAGGTTCATGAAGGTGCGGTCTGAGACGCAGGTTCATGAAGGTGTGCTGTGAGCTGCAGGTTCACGAAGGTGCCCTGTGAGCCGCAGGTTCATGAACGTGCGTTTTGAGCCGCAGGTTCATGAAGGTGCGTTTTGAGCCGCAGGTTCATGAAGGTGCGTTTTGAGCCGCAGGTGCATGAAGGTGGGGTTTGAGCCGCAGGTTCACGAAGGTGCGTTTTGAGCCGCAGGTTCACAAAGGTGTGCTGTGAGCCGCAGGATCATGAAGGTGCGTTTTGAGCCGCAGGTTCACGAAGGTGGGGTTTGAGCCGCAGGTTCACGAAGGTGGGGTTTGAGCCGCAGGTTCACGAAGGTGCGTTTTGAGCCGCAGGTTCACAAAGGTGTGCTGTGAGCCGCAGGTTTATGAAGGTGCGTTTTGAGCCGCAGGTTCATGAAGGTGCGGTTTGATCCGCAGGTTCACAAAAGTGTGGTCTGAGCCGCAGGTTCATGAAGGTGTGGTCTGAGCCACAGGTTCATGAAGGTGCGGTTTGATCCGCAGGTTCACAAAAGTGTGGTCTGAGCCGCAGGTTCATGAAGGTGCGTTTTGAGCCGCAGGTTCATGGAGGTGTGGTCTGAGCCACAGGTTCATGAAGG